ACTCCAGAAAAGACTGAGGCTACAGGTAGGCATTCGGAAACGGCTCGGACAATCAGCTGATCGCATGGACGATCGCGACGTCTTTCGGCTGCCCACCAGAGATGAGCATCGATCAAAAGCGTCCGGTTGTTTGCACAGAGCTCCGCGGACAGAAGTTTAGATTGACATATTTTTTGTATATGGCCTCTGAACGAGTTCTTGTCGTTGTTCCGGACGATTGATTGACGATCGAGCCAGCGACTAACAAACCGGCCCATCAGCCTACCTACCGAGCGAGCGACCGAATGTATTCTGACAGTCAGTGGAGCGCATTCGAGATTGACGGATGGTGAAATTTCTAATGAGGACCGGTCCAGAAGATTGATGCGTCGGAACACATCGAGTTCAACTGAGGATTCGCGATCCTCGCAATGAAGTTCGACGATTCCCGACCGACTCTTGTGTGGATTCCGTGTGCATCGGATGACAATGCGTCTGACGATACGACCGTCGAACGGGGTTCCGGGGCATTGATCGACTCACTCCGGTCACGAAGGGCTTTCCACGACATACGTAGCGGTATGTTGGCGGCGGTGGCAACAGCTGATCGAAACCCCTACGGAACGAATGCGTACGCCTCCGACTTTTGACTCGACGAGAGGGCGTCAGAAAAATACTTTTCGCTCTGACATTGAATGCTGCCGCTGGTGGTGAACCAGTTTCTAATTGTATGTCTGCGAGACGGGTGGAGACAGCGCGACAGACTACGACTACTACTTCCACAGTCCCCGGCGCCAGACCGTTCACGGCACCACTGTTCATACTCCATGTACACAATCAAATGCAAAACCAGGGAGAGAGCGGCAACAGCTGAGGGAGCGATGCGATCAATGGTCAGCCCCCGATGAATTGCAGCACAGAAGAATTTCGACATCATCGACAGAGCTGGAGGAGTTTGCGGCGTGTTTCCGATACGTCATGCGACTGGAAACAGGATCAGCAGCAGAAGCTGCTGCGGCGAGCGTCGCGTAGAGACGGTCTGCTCCGATAAAACTCGTCATTGACATTTCGTCATCATTGAACCGATGTTCCTATGCTCTTTTTGGACTCATTCGGAGCTTGCCGACGATTCCTCAATGATGCGGACATTCAATTCGTTTACACCAACATTGCTCGCGCTCTGGGTTGTCCGGAGAGGTCGAGAGCTGCAGCTCCGAAAGAACACAGAGAGACCTCTAGCCCTCCTCCTCCGAGTCCCGGCATCCTGTTTCCTGAGAATTCACAGCGTCGCTTTGGTCGGGTTCGTATCTCACTCGGACAATTAGCGGTCCGTACCGATGGAGATCGATTGCACATCATTCGCTCGGAACATCTCTTCCGGCGGCGCGGACGACGCCTGTTTGTTTATGGCGATCGATGTTTTGATACGTCTCCTCCCCGCGAATGATCACAGAGATTCTTGTCGGTTTACGGTTGAGTCTAGTTGTAAGTGATTTGTTAGCGTTTGCCTACAGGCAATCGTTCGCGGATTTCTTAGAAATCAATTCGATGACACTGGAGCCATCCTCTTGCATAGAGAGATCACTTCGAGCTGTGACTCTTGTTATCTATCAAGTCAAAAGTTCTCTCTCTCAGTCATGTGGGAGACCGCTGTCATAAAACTTTGCTCATCGGAGTTCCTTCGAAACAGCGATCAGTTTCACGGGGGACAGCTGTCTGACGTTTTTATTCACATGAATCTGGCGGGACGACATGACTAGCGCCGCTGAATGGTAGAATAAACATTGAATTATTTTTGATTAGGATTTGGCAAGTGCTTTGGCGTTCGTTCTTCCGCTGAACGACGCTCAATCAAATTCTCCCACGTGACCTCCCGTAATCGATGATGCCCCATCCACTAACTCGTGCGTGTGAGCTGTTGTTAGTGCTCTATTCGCTTTCCCAGTGCATATGTCGTGGTTTCAGCCTAAGCATCCCTGTACAGGTCGGATCGGTGCTCTCTCGACTAGCTAGGGGAACGCTTATGGAGCCACCGGTGGTGGTGCCGGCGCCGCCATGCCACACCGTAACGGTGTCTAGCGATCGAAAATCGGCTGCAACAGAAGCGCACTTAATTCTGCACACGCTGCGTCTACGGGGGCCCGTTAGGCCGCCTACCCGTCTGGCGCTCCACGCGTGAGCGGCGTCCTCCCGAAGAGACTCTTCGACGAATTTTCCCGACCATTCGTTCAACGATCGAGACCGTAGATTTAGGCACGCAATCATTGGCAATCCATAAGTCACGCGGAGAGCAGCGGCAAGGCTCGTCCGGTGGCCCAGTACCCCTCGCGTCATCGGATCAAGCTCGTCCGGTGACAACGGCTCGATTCGATGAGGGAAACGTCCAAAGAAATTGTTTCGCGGTAGTTGGGAGTTTTCAATGCTGATGACATCTTCGACGGATGGCGAAAGTATCAGATACGATTTTCGGGCGGTAACCTCCGCCGCCCTCGCCGGGCTGGGATCTGGAGTGGATTTATCATCAACGTCATCGCCGCGTGGTCGAAACAACAAGCAAGCAATCGCAGCCAACCGAGCGCTGATGCCGCCAGGCAGCGCCGCGGTTACCACTGCCAAATGCAGCATGTAGCCTTGGGTCGGTTCCGCGTGTGTGCGTCTACAGTTCTACAGGGTAGACGTGGAAAAAAATTCGAAAGAACATCATCAAACAAATATAGGACCTTAGGGGGGGGGGGCGTCCTGTGTAACAACGGCGATTCCTTGTTTCTCTCGTGTCTCGTGCCTCGACGTCGTCGTGCTCGTGTTCCTATTGGTGGCCGACGCAGCCGTAAGAAACTTAGAGAAAACAAAAGATACATTGGTCGATAGTGTATCCGATAGAAGAAAACAGAATTCAGAATTCGGGTTTAACACGCACCGACATCGAATTATTCCGCCGCGAGAGGAGCGAGAATTCAAACGATCGACCGATCGATCGACAGACCGCCGCATTGTCGACCACAACTGACCCCGGAAAGGTGAGGGTGCGGCCTGTAACCTTGATCGGCACGCGTTGCTCTTCGAGCCGCTACGGCATGACTTCGGAGTTTGTCGGTCCAAATTCATCCGAGCCTTTCTAGCCCCACCGACTATGGGATCTCTACGGGGAGAAGTGGGTAGCTTGCGGGGAAGTTGCTGGGAATATTAATTTTCGGAGCCTCGGATTTTGGAGCTCCCCCTGATCCTGAGCCGCTCAAGCCACAGAGCCACCACTTTCTGCTTGGATTTCGGTGCCTCAACGGAAGGGGCGTTCACTGTTGAAGTTCGTAGACGTCTACGGAGCCCTGCCACGTGACACGACGCTCTCGGTGACGAGCGCACCGGAAGACGTGACGTTAGACATCACCAGGGATTGCGCTCGTGGCACCTGCCTAGTAGTGAAAAAAAAATCAATTAAGAAGCTCACACGCTGATTAAATTTTGAAACGATGCGTTGTTGACGAACTCATGGAGGTATTCATGCATACATGACTGATCACAAACATGAATTTCAGAGCCTTGATTCGTGCGGTCCATTCCGCTGTTCGTCTCAATAACGATTTCGATGAATGTATCGCTGAGACAACGATCTCGATCAAGTGGGGAGTTTCAGCTCCCATCGTCAGTGAGGCTACGAAGTGTTTCCGGAATTTCCAGAGTCTACCCCTCATCGAATTGCTCGCTATTGGGACAATTATTTCACGTATGGCGGGATCGCGATTCCCGTTCGGGTATCTCCTAGCGGTGGCAAGCAGATATATCTGCGTCGAAAATACGTACAAGCTTTGACGCCTTCAACAATCGGATCCGCCGAAAACGCCTTCAACCTTGCTGCAGCTCACGAAAAAAAAACTAAATTAGCTCTTTGTTTTAATTAAAATTTCGATAAGAGCCGTATCCTTGCGGCCTTGATCACGGAGTCCGCTACGACGAAACTTACACGAGCGTAAGTTACAACACCGTACGAGACGAATGCTTTTGGTGCGGAAGACCTTCCGTGCGAACCACAGGGCTTACTTCGTCATCAATAATTCAGTGTTTCCTATCCGGATATTCTCTACCTCATATTACTCGATGTTGATTATGATTGGGATGACTCGCGACAAAGGATACTTTACCGATTTATGGATATTAGGAGAATTCTGTCACACATTAGATAGATATCGAGGACCGATCGCAGGCGCGGATGATAACGATCGTGGAGGCTTCGATCGCATCTCGCCCGATGGTCCGCCTTGTAATAATGATCGTGTGGTCCCTCCTAATCTGGGAAATCTGAAAAACCTCTCAATTGAATGAGATAAAATTTTGGAGATGTAGCTTACCGCGGGTTCGTCGACCTCCGCATCGAAGGAGTGATCCACCGTTTGTCTGATCGTCTGTCATTCGGCTCGTTCGTCGCTCGCTCCTTCTGATTTTCCGTACGAGAATCTGTCCACCTGTCGATCGGTCTGTCTGCGTCCACTTCGTCCCTCCCGTCTGTCCGTCCGTTTGAATTTCGGGATCTAACAAGATCGAAAATGTCATAGACGTCCAGAACAGCACTGACGGATCGAACGGCAACTGCTCGAGCGAGTGACCGTCCGAGCGACCGATCAGCGGTCGCTTGCGCAGTTTATCGAGGCAAATTGTTACCGAGTGGGATTCCTCGATTTTTTCCCCGCTATCAATTTCACAATTTCGTTCACGTTTTTCGTCTCTTCCCTTTTCAGATTGTTCCGGCTGCGAGGGTCTTCGGAGCGCAAAAATGGCAACGCTCGACGCCGTCTCCTGAGTTCAGCTCGGCCGGAAGCTAGAGCTAGCTTCGCGTTGAGGGCCGCCGGACTTGGCCGCGGCTGCCTATAGAATCTTGGGAGAATCCTCCCGAGAGGTAGCAACAGCAGCAGCGGAGACGCTCGAAAGAGAAGGAAGAGCAGAAGAAGGATTGACGACGAAGAGAAATAGCTGTCAAATCCGCAGCCGGAGACACCTGAGGGCTTCTCCTGTCGAGTTTACCATTCAGAATGACGTCGAAATCGTCTGCAAAAGCGAACCTGCTCGGCAGCGGGGGGATTTACCTCGCGAGCGGCGAGACGAACGGGGACTTGACCAACGGTCATGTCAACCACGCTTTCTGCGAAATCCCACTCGACTCGGGCAACGGCACCTTGAAGAAGGTTTGGAACGATACTCTCATTTGAATGTTTTCATCATGTCGAAACGAAATCCTCCCAGAACTTCACTTACGGGAACTCTTTCGCCGCTGACTCCCTCGAATTCCCTCCCCCACGGGATTCCAGCCCGTCGATCTCTCTGGATGGGCCCACGAGAAGCATAATCGGTCTCAGCTCCGGGTCGGAGGGAGGATCGACCATTTTTAGAATAAGGGTGAATTTCGTTGAGCAGTCCATTCACTCGGATGAGGGACTCCAATTTATGCCGTTGAGACTCTCAATGAGCGAAATGAACATTCTGGCGGCCGCCAAGCCCGGAATTGCCGTATCACCTTCCTTTGAATTAGGAGGAGCGCTTCGAATCACAATCACGAGCATGAGCATGTCTGCGTCCCGATCATTCAGTATTGCCCGGTATCACTGTATCTTGTTTCTGGAAATTACGCGCCCACATTCCGCCATCAGCGCTGACTTATCTGGATACGGAAGAAAGCATAGACCCCTTGGTCGGCTACCGGATTCGGCATGCTCTTTCGTTTCCTTGATTGGTGGTATTATTTTTGTAATACAGATCGTGCAGCTGCTCCCGGGGTACCGCAGGGGGGGAGCATTTGAACATTCGATGTCACGTCTTTTCCCGTACTGTCTCCCCCATTCCGAAAACTTCGGTCATTTGAATTTCGTTCGAAGCAATGATCAAGCAGTTTCCTCGCATGCATATTCCGAGGAGACGATAGATTGCATGGATCGTGTGGGGACGCATTCTCAACTCGATCCACGATTTCAGAAGAGTGAATCGCAGAATGAAAAAATCTGTATGTTGGAAATTCCGTCATCGAACGGGTCGGCCCCGGAAAAAGACCGAAGTTCGCCAAGTATCGTCCCGGAGAATACACATCGAAAGTTTTTTTGGTGAGTAACTTCTTGTTCAGACTTCTAGGTATTGCAAAACGTCCGAATGCGTCCGAGAATGCGTCTCTGAAGATTTTCTGTTATGAACCACGAGGGCGAAGCAACACTTTGCTCGGTGTCGTGCGTCAAAATGCTGTTCAGCTTTGATACTCTTCCCGAGACGATTTTCTCGTGGCTCCGAATCCATGTCCGACGAGCCTTGAATGCCGCTTCGGACATTTTGCCCATGTTTTTCTCTCTTCCGATGTCTTCGGAGTTGAGTCATTCCTCACGAGTCCTGGAAGGCGGATCGAGTGGACCGCCGTCCGATCACCGAGTTCGCCCTCCGCCTCAATTCAATCCTTCCGTGGTACGATACGTTCTTGATAATGGAAGTGAACGGGGAGCGAAGCATCCAAATCAAATCGCCAAGTCGTCCCTAAACTCTTGATGAAGAAAAAAACCAAAAAACAAGATCTCGCTTTTCGAACGAAGCGGAAAATTGCGACCGAGAAAGCCACAATAGTTGAAGGGGGCAAGCGTCGAGAAGACTCGTCCGACGATTATTATGTAAGTTCAAAAGGCACCATTCAGCCAGGAGCAGAATTTCCAGCGCCTTCAGGTGCTCTGTTAACGGCCTAAATTGCTCCAGATGTGTCTCCACTGTTTTTTGACCGACATGGGCATCGTCACGGGAGGAGGTACGAGAGCAACTCGATTGGGTGAATGAAGCCTGGAACGCTTAAAAAATGTACAGAAGAATTCAGAGCAGAGTCAACTCGGGTTAAAGGTCAACAACGAGCGCGTGCACAATTCGCCCGGCAGGACGACCACCCAGATAATGAGCTTTGAGATTCGGGGCGAGAGGGAGAATGATACGAGCAAAACGAACTCGTGCTTTCTGAAAGAAAACCGAGAGCCTTCTCGGGCTTCAGCTGGCGCAGGAGAGATCCGCTAGTTCGGAAGTTTTTCGGGTGGACGTCCGAAGGTTCCGCTCAGCGTATTCGCGAGCGTTGACCATTCGCCGTCTTTTGGTGGGTCCTTTCTGAAATGTGTAGAAGTATTTTCTGGACGCGTCCATGATTATATACTTTTCTCGAACTCCATTAAGATGTTGTCGCCAGATTTATCGCTCGTGTTCATCGTCTCCCATAAAGATCATCATTTCTTCCGACTTCCATCCACACGTTTTCTTCACTATCCCCCTTTGCTGCTTTTCTGAGCGTTTTCCTCGATCCCTCTCCGCTCTGTTCTTTGTCGCATGTCTACCTGAACTTTGTGACGTATCTATCAGCAAATCGAGTCGACCGTTCTCTTCGTAAACGAGCCGGTCAGCTAAGAGGAGTTCTCTCCCGGAAACCGTTCCCAGGTCTGGGAGCCGAGCAAGATCTTGATCCTAATCGATCACGGGATCATTGTGGTGCCAGTCCCGGCGAACGTTCCTCTGACCCCGCCATCCTATCGATTGTTCCATCTGTGGTGGTACTTGTTGTGCATATATGTATATTTGTCCAAACTCGACTCGAGCGACTTCTACGGTATGCTCTTGAGGAGTAGTTCTTGCGTAAGCAAAACTTCCACAAGCCCGCGAAGACCCGTCTGAGCGTCTGTGACAAAGTCCTACGGTGAACCGTGCATTGGACCTCGAATGATTTTCTTGCGACGCTGCGATTCACATTGATCTAGTGAATCGATTAAAAGAACCGTCTTCCGATCGTAAATCCTCCCCTGGTCGCGAGTAGGAGTGAAGATAGGTCCTCGCTCTCGCGGATGTTTGACAACAGCCGGCATTTACTCAGCCAGCCAAAGCGGAAAAATTCTCGACTGCCTGACCGCTGCTGCTCGAAGGCGACGACCGCCAAATGAAACCATCAATAAGCACGGCCCGCCCACACCGATATTCTTTTTTGGAGCAGGCACGTAGCCTCATTTCCCAATCAGGGGTTCCCCCGGAACCTACAGACGCCCTCTCCGTCGTGCAGGTGTGGAACTCTGGACATGGGAAGCTACTACCGCAGGTACGAATTCGGTAAATGTATCTCGTCGGCTAGGGCCGTGGGCGCGGTTCATAGCCAGGGGAGTGACGGATTTTCATTTCCACAATCCGTCTTGATGTCCACAACTCAAGTGCTCCGATGTTGCGCGGTCGATTATACCGGGTGGTTATTCGTTCTCCAGAGTCTGAAGTCGAGACAGGTGAATCAATATCTGTCTAGTTCGCCCGAAAGCGGATCCCTCTCACTGAGAGACTTCGCTCATGAAATCGAGGACGGCTGCGTTGCTGCCGCCGCCGCCGCCGACGGCGACGATGTTGATGATAGCGCTGATGATGGCGCTGATGATGGCCGGTCGCCGTGTCTCCATAGAAAGCAACTGACTGAGTCAGAGAATTTTTTTTCTGCCGTTTTGTTTGCCTCTGAACTGAAGCCACGCGATCGGAGGATGCCTCGGTTTTCCCCAGTGTCCTTTCCGGCTCATATGTTCCGAATCAGTTCATAGGGTCCGACTTATGGAAATTCCCTGGAATTTTCACGTCGACGCCGGGAATCTCTGGAATTCGTCGCCCCCGCGGGGATCTCAAGCGATGTTATACTTGATATCATCACAAGACAGGGGACGTTTTGGTCCGGAATGAGGCTTGAGGGCATCTGGCGGGAGAAAATACAGATCGGTGGTCGACATAATCTCTGCTCCGTCATCATGTTGGTCCTGTCATATGCTCCTGAGGACATCTCTCGTGGAGCCATGACGTCGTCTAGGCGCTTCTCGCGTCGTGTGACTCACGATGCGAATCTTCTGGAATCTCTGGTTTTACATTTGATTCAACCTCGTGACCCCATCGGAACACCCACTCCGACGTCTACGCGGCGCAGCGTCGTCTTCATGATTCACAGATCTGTATCCGCTACTGACTCGGCGAAGGATATCCGATTCCCAAGATCCACACTCGCAACTTCGCATCTGTATAGTTGAGCCACGAAATCGTCTGTGTGCCGACTAGGTGCAATTTATTGCGTCAGCTCCGAAATTCCGAATCGAGCGCGCTCGATTGCTCGTTCTCCACACTTCCAATGGAGTTTGATCCGAACGGGCACGCCACCGCTGGAGATGCACTGCTGGTCGCACTGTGAGCAGGTGCCGCGTGTTGTTCACGGTCAAATCGCCGATGTGATCCACAAACGAGACCATGAGTCCATCATCCATGGGCGCCGTCACCGTCGACGTTTCACAAATTCATTGCGGTGCTAGCTGCTCCTGTAGCTTTCGTGAGTAGGTTTTCCGCAGAAGGAACGAGGAACGGAGAGACCTTCAGGTCTCACGGACCTCCTCGATAAGAACCTGCCCGCTAAAGGTGTCCGGTGAGGTTGTGGATGTGCTGCTACAGTTCTCACGCAACGTAAATGAATGATGATCAAAAAATCGATTGACTGACGCCTCTGATCGAATTCGTGAACCACCGCGCCTTGGTCCAGACTTTAGGGCTAGAGTTTTCCCCCGAGTGAGTAGAGTCATGAGAGCTCGCTTTGGTCGACTTCGAGAGGTCGCTTCGGGGAACGGACGTGTCCGGCTTCTTCTTCCGGTTCTAGATGCGAACCCGAGTGAGCAGAATTTCTGCAAGCTGATGCGTATTCTTGCGTATAGTAGCTCGACCGTCTGGTGCACAGCAGTCGGCGCAGGGGCGTCAATCACTCCCCGCAATTATCCACCGTCTGTCCACGAATTCAGTTCGAATTTGTATTCATTTTCTCCGAGAATTTTTTTTTCGATGAACATTCTGCCACCGGGGTCTATTCATGCGATCTCACCATTGAAGACAATCGTTCAGACAGAAATCAAGCCAGGGTTTCGAGCCCTGCCCATACACTGCCGCGAAGAATTGTCCTTGGTTGACTCCTCCCTCGAAATCGAGCGTTTTCTTCAGACGCATTGGCAAAGGTTCGCTACCGGCATTCATCTCGACCTGCCGGTGCCGTTTAAGTAAATGTCCTTGCGGTCGGAAGTAACAATATCTCCTCTGATCTTCATTCACACAACGGTCGCGCTCAGCGATCAAATAACTGATCGGAGCCCCAGTGATCGGTAAATGATGAGGACGAAGGCGTCGCAGAAGAGGAGAAGGGGAAAAGGTGTTCTCGAATGCTTCAATCACGGAATGCCGAAAAATGGTTTCCTCTCAAACGTATCAGATGAGCTGCGATTCGACGTAGCCTTCTATGGACGGGATCGATCGATTCTTCCTTCTATGAATGAAGCTGGTCTCGAACCAAGGTCGATCGCTTGTTTTCTCGCGTATGGGGTCGGGGTTCTCGACCCATTGCAGACACGCGATGATGCATCCACCCTGCAAAGGGTGCAGATAGTCCGGAATCTTTCGCGGAGCATCGTCCGAGAACGTAAGCACTTCATCTATCCGATACGGCACAACGGTGTACTCTCCTCGCCCGCAGTCTTCGTTCCGTCCCACGGCCGCAATTCCCCGAATCAGTGTCGTCTCAATGTTCTATTCATCGGGTCGAATGTTCGTATCACCGGACCTCACTCGAGAACTCGGAATGCCTCCTCTTTTATTTGAATCTCATCTTCCTATGGAAGCCTTCGAGAATCACCAGCTCATCAGAATGTTCAGGGATCGACGACATTCATGACAGAGCACCGCAAATCCCAGATACGCAATCGCACACTGTCAAGTCCTTCGTTCGTTGTGCTTGAAATAGCATTACATCGAGCATGAATGCCGTTAGGTTTGCTTCTAAGACCATGCTTACGAAAGAGAAGCTTACATAATGCCTAGATACCTGCGCAACCTATTCCCCTCCGGATACTATTAAATGTTTAATGGATGCGACGATTTCGCATGTTCCTCCATTTAACAAGGAACGAGTTCGGATTCGACCGCTCGGAATCGAAGTCAAAGGTCTTGAGAACAGGAGTCAAGTTCAGTCGATGCACCACGTGTTTGTCACAGCCCACTGGAATTTCCACAACTTTCAGCGAAAGCGTCAGCTCTAGGGAAAACTCGT